TGATAGAAAACAAACTTTAACAAAATGAAAAAGGCTATGTAGACATTTGAGCATTAGATTTAATGCAGTTGTGTAGATGGTACAGAAGACCAAAGGAAAGGATGATCAACCTCAAAGAAAATCAAATAATAGTAATAATAATATTAAAACATAATAGAAAGTAGCAACCTTAAATGAATTTCAGCTAAATTGCTCAAAACAACATGCTATTGGAGATTTAGACAATTAAGAAAAGAAATAAGACAAAACTATCAGAAAAATGAAACATAGCTCAAAAAGATTGATAATTTATTGGTGCTCAGACAGCCAAGGGGTTAGTCTTCAACTTCTGGGTAAAAACCCCAGATCAGAAACTCTAGTCCTAATATAAGACATCATCACCACACCAATCTTCTACAATCCAACAAAATTAAACCAAAGACCAAGAATGGTATAGATACATAAATTAAAAACCAAAAAAATCAAACCTAACAAAAAACAGAGATGAATGAACAAAAAATAGAGGACATGTAGCTCAATAAAATGAGAGGAAGATCATTACAATCGACCTAACATGTGCAATATAAAATTAAAATCCAATCTCCAGCCTCTCATCTATTATCATAAACAGCTCAATCAAGACTGCCATCACTCATACCTTACACGTTATAATGACAAATTCTCATCTAATATACTCAATGTATATATAACAATAATTTATCAAATCATCATGCTTAACAAATATTATTACATATTACAAAATATAAAATAAAACAAGATATAACAAGGATACTCATTACATACAGAAAACACAAGATATATTTGAGTGCATCATCCACACAATTGGTAACATTTCAACCTCAAGTAAGGCAAAGAATAATAAACCATATTTCTCATCCACAAAACATTCAGTTGTTAAAAGTTAAAGACTAAAAGAGTAATTTGATTTTATTTCAAACCAATTCTTGAACTTTATTTTCAAAAGAAACATCTTTAACAAAAATGTATGCAAAATACGAAATTTAGTATTAAATCTGTATGTCTCATGGCCAGTCCCAAGTAGTAATGGCAGCAACGCTGCTCCACAAGGCAATGGAATATGAGACCACTCCCACGACGGTGAATCCCCAGAAGGGAATCCAACAACATCAAAGGGATTTCTATGTGACGTTTCCTAGGGAATGTACAAACATTAAGGGTTTGCTCCAGCAATCTAGATGAGAAAGACTTTCAGCCAGAAAATCTTCTCCGTCACCAAAACTCATCAATTGGAAAATAATAAACAATGTATGGGCAAAAGAACTAATCTTATATTGATAGAAAACTAACTTTAACAAAATGGAAAAGACTATATAGACATAGCATTAGATTTTAAAATCACAAAGGAAAGGGTGATCAACCTCAAAGAAAATCAA